CCAAAATCTGCTACTGATCTAAATCTGCTAGAAGAATACCCTTGATGCCGAAATATAACTGTTTGAAAACTTTTGGTTTGATTTCCATTGAAGAATTTGCTGAAGAATTTGATATCAAAGTGTTAAGCTGTAATTTTGCCAAAAAATCCTCAGTTGAGGGTTTTAAATTATGATTCAAAAAAACTTGATAGCTGAATTTTTGATGTTGTTTATGAGTAATTTGAAACATAGTTAAAACTCAGACCGGAAATGGAAGTTATGGGGTTGGTTTATCTTTTTCCACGTCACAAATTATGATTCCATTCCTCCTTAATTGCAGTATGATTTAGTGCTGATTCGTTTTTGTTCGAAGTGTTACTCTGTATTTCCTTTTGTTGGTGTATGATGCGTTATGCGAAGTTATGATTCATTACGCTACTGATTTTTGATTTCTCTCTTTTGGGACTTTGCTTAAAAGCTTAGTGTTTCATGCGGTAATTAGTTTTTTGTAATGTAGTTGAACCTCAGTTTTTAAGACAACTTGAAAATATAGGGCTTGAAATTGTGAGTTTGTGCTGTAAGTTATGGGGTTGGTTTTTCTGCTTCCACGTCACAAATTATGATTTCAACCCTCAAAATCCACTCTTTTTTTCGTGGTGTAATGTTTTTTTTTGGTTTTTGTTCGATTATGGTTCGTGATGTGAAGGTACGATTCATGATGCTATAACTCTACAAATTTTTTTGCTCTTTTTCGCGATTTTGTTTGATCTTTGTGGTGAATCATTTTTGATCATATTTTATTTCTAATCCTATCGTTTGTTTCCACTCTTGAATCGAATTCAAAAAAATAGCTATTTGACGGTTTTTAGGTTTATTTTGTACATATCTGACTCACTTTTTGTTTGTTACGTTTCGTGATGCTTGATGCGAAGGTCTGACCCTTGATGCCGAAATATAACTGATTGAAAACGTTTTGTTTGGTTTCCCTTGAAGAATCTGCTTAAGAATTTGATATCAAAGTGGTAAGTCATAATTTTGCCTAAGAGTCTTAAGATGAGTGTTTTAAATTATGAGTCAAATATCACTTTTGATGTCACATATCAATAATTTCTAACATAGTTGAATCTCAGACCTGAAATGCAAGTTATGGAGTTGGTGATTTTGCTTTTACGAAACAATTATGATTCAATCCTCCTTAATTGCAGTCTGATTTAAATGTTGCTCTGTTTCTCTTTTGTTGAAGTGTGATATGTGATTCGAAGGTGTGATTGATAAGGCTATTGATTTTTGTTTTCTGTCTTGTTAGTTTAATTGCTTTGTGTCAAATGCGGTAAATCATTTTTTTTTGACAGAGTTGAATCTCGGTTTTTAAGACCAAAATGGAAGAAAAAGAGTTTGAAATTGGGACTTTTTTGTTGTAAATTAGTGCTTGAAGCGTCGGAAATTGCTGTCTGATTTTAGTTAAAAATCCAAGGTCTTTTTCATACTGTATTTCCCTTTTTCGTTTTCTATTGGTTTCTGATGTTTGATGTGAAGGTGTGATCCATGATGCTAAAATTGTGCTGATTTTTTTTCTGCTCCGCGATTTCATTTGATCTTTCTGGTGAATTATTTGTGATCAAACTTGTCATTCTAATCCTATCGTTTGTTTCAAATGTTAAATCGAGTTCTAAAAAATAGCTATTCGAAGGTTGATGCGTTTCATTTTGTACTTATCTCACTTTTTTTGTCAGGTGAGTGATGCTTGATGCAAAGGTCTGACCCTTGATGCCGAAATATAACTGATCGAAAACTTGTGGTTTGATTCACCTTGAAGAATCTAGTGAAGAAATTCATATCAAGTTTGATTACTTATTTTTTGATGTTGTACATGAGTAATTTGAAACATAGTTGAAACTCAGACCGGAAATGGAAGTTATGGGGTTGGTTTTTCTGCTTCCACGTCACAAATTATGATTTCAATCCTCCTTAAATGTAGTATGATTTAAATCAGCGACTGCTGATTCATTTTTGTTCGAAGTGTTACTCTGTATTTCTTTTTGTTGGTGTATGATGCGAAGTTATGATTCATTACGCTATTGATTTTTGATTTCTGTCTTTCGGGTTATAGTTAAATGCTTAATGTTTCGTGCGGTAATTAATATTTTGTAATGTAGTTGAATCTCAGTTTTTAAGACAAGAAGTTGAAAATATAGGGTTTGAAATTGGGAGTTTGTGCTGTAAGTTATGGCTTCGAGCGTCCTTAGTTGCTGTCTCATTTAAGGTACGAATCTTGCTTCTGTTTCGTACTGTATTGCTCTGTTTTCGTTTTCTATTGGTTAATGAAGTTTGATGCGAAGATTTGATTCATTATTCTTAAACTGTACTGTTTCTTTCTCGATTACTTTCTAGTTTGTATTTGTTTGAGCTTTCAGGTGAATCATTTATGATCAAAATTGTAAGCCTAAGTCAATGGTTTCGTTTTTCCAATATGGATTGAGTTGTGAAAGATAGCTATTTGATGGTTAATGCGGTCCATTTTCTGCAATATCTCGCTATTTCTTGTTTGTTTTGCTTCGAAGGTCTGACTAATGATGTTGAAAAAAAAACTGATACAAAATTCTGTTTTTGATATCTCTTGAAGTACATGTTAAAGTTTTTGATATCAAATTGTGAAATTGTGGTCATTTTGAAAAAGCTTCAGATGTGTGTTCAACGTTGTTTTAGTCACATTTATTTAGTTGCTTAGTGTTTATTGCGGCTAATCAGTAATTTATAACCCACCTGAGTCTCCGTTTTGAAGTGGAAGTTATGGGGTCTGTTATTGTGATTTTCTGGGGTAAATAATGACTTCCACCCTCCTTAGTTGCTGACTGATATGAGGTAACAATCCGCTTTTTTTTCGTACTGTATTCCCTTATTTTCATTTTCTGTTGGTTGATGACGTTTGATGCGAAGGTATGATCCCTGATGCTGAAACTGTGCAGATTTTTTCTGTTTCGCGTTTTCATTTGAGCTTTCGAGTGAATCATATGGGATCAAACATGTAAGCCTAAGTCACTCGTTTTGTTTGTGTCCAAATTGAATGAGGTCTAAAAAAAATAGCTGATTCAGTAGTGTTGGTTTGATTTTTCCTGAAGTAAATGCTTAAGCTTTTGATATCAAAGTGTGAACTTGTGGTCATTTTAAATAAGCTTCAGATGGGTGTTTTAATTCACATTAGTCAGTTTTGTTAAATTGCTTAGTGTTCAAAGCGACTAAACAGTAATTTGTAACATACTTGAATCTCAGTATTGAAGTGGAAGTTATGAGGTTTGTTTTTGTGATTTTTGCTGTAAGTTTTGACTTCGAGCCTCATTTTTGGCTGTTTGTTTTAAGACTACTATCGATAATTCTTCGCACAGTATCGTTCTGCTTTTTTAAATTCGTTTATGATGTGTGAAGCAAAGGAGTGATTGATGTGATGCTGAAACCACTGTTTTTATTATTTTTGGCGATTGATTTGATCTTTCTGGTGAATGATTTGTGATCAAACTTGTAAGTTTAATCCTATCGTTTGTGTCCACTGTTGAATCGAGTTCTAAAAAATGGCTATTTGCAGGTTCTTAGGTTTTTTTTGTACGTATCTGACTCGCTTTTTGTTTGTTAGGTTTCGTGATGCTTGATGCGAAGGTCTGACCCTTGATGCCGAAATAAAACTGATTGAAAATGTTTTGTTTGATTTCCCTCGAAGAATCTGCTTTAAAAGTTGATATCAAAGTGGTAAGTTGTAATTTTACCAAAGTGTCTTAAGATGAGTGTTTTGAATTATGAGTCAAATATCAGTTTTGATGTCACATATCAGTAGTTTCTAACATAGTTGAATCTCAGACCTGAAATGCAAGTTATGGGGTTGGTGATTTTGCTTTTACGCCTCAATTATGATTCAATCCTCCTTAATTGCAGTCTGATTTAAATGTCGCTCTGTTTTTCGTTTGTTGAAGTGTGATATGTGATTCGAAGGTGTGATTGATAAGGCTTTTGATTTTTGTTTCTTGTCTTGTTAGTTTAATCGCTTTGCGTTAAAAGTGGTAAATCATTTTTTTTGACCGAGTTGAATCTCGGTATTTAAGAGCAAAGTGAAAGTAATAGGGTTTGAAATTGTTTTTTAGCTGTAATTTATGGCTTCAAGCGTCCTAAATTGCTGTCTGATTTAAGTTAATAATTCAAGTTCTTTTTTATACTGTATTTTTCTTTTTCGTTTTCTATTGGTTTCTGATGTTTGATGCGAAGGTGTGATCCATGATGCTAAAATTGTGCTGCTCTGCGATTTCATTTGATCTTTCTGGTGAATTATTTGTTATCAAATTTGCCATTCTAATCCTATCGTTTGTTTCCACTGTTGAATCGAGTTCTAAAAAATAGCTATTCGATGGTTGATACGTTTCATTTTGTACATATCTCACTTTTTTTGTCAGTTAAGTGATGCTTGATGCGAAGGTCTGACCCTTGATGCCGAAATATAATTGATTGAAAACTTTTAGTTTGATTTCCTTTGAGGAATCTGCTGAAGAATTTGATATCAAAGTGTTAAGCTGTAATTTTGCCAAAAAATCCTCAGATGAGGGTTTTAAATTATGAGTCAAAAAAATGTGATTGCTTATTTTTTGATGTTGTATATGAGTTATTTGAAACATAGTTGAAACTCAGACCGGAAATGGAAGTTATGGGGTTGGTTTTTCTGCTTCCACGTCACAAATGATGATTTCAATCCTCCTTAATTGCAGTATGATTGACAATAAAAAGGTCGACAGATTTTTCAAAATTTTTTGAAAATCCGCCGCCCGCAAACCTCCCCCCACCCCTCACCCCTCCTCGAGAAAATCCTAGATCCGCCCCTATGGGCGATCAAGAATTCAAATTCCCGGGAAAGGCGTCCTTTCTCCCTCCAAAATCTGCTACTGATCTAAATCTGCTAGAAGAATACTTGTTTATGATAATGAACACCGTTGCTAATGAACCCCAATTACTTGTAATGCCAGTGAACACCAATTATTCTTTAGATAGTCAGCCGAGGCGAAGGAAAAGTGGTGGGAGAAACTATTACATTAGACGTGCATGCAATCAGCGAGTTGGAATCGAAGAGTGTCGCAAAAACAGACGATTCTCACAAATACCAATATTCATCAAATTTGGAAGGCATCTACGGTACCTCTATTTTGTTTTTGGAGCAGACATCGTCACATAGATTTACATCGATGTTTTACAGAGCAGAATAGGAGTAATGCTGGGCACAAATTTTTTGACCCCATTTAAATTAAGTTTCCATCAGTTTTATTTTCTTATCATATGAACATTATAAATAAATTTGAACAGCTTGAACAACAATAAAGATAGCAACAGTTTGAATTCTTTGAACATGTTGCTGTTTTACATCGGTTTCTAAAAAGAAATAAAGCTGCATGTGTTTTTGTTCCAGATTTTTCCTCGTGTGACGGAACAGTTCTGGGTATAATCAAAAACAAAGAGTTCTGCACGTCAGTATCAACAGGAGATGAATGTGGCATTTTGCTGGACAAGACTAATTTCTATGCGGAGTCAGGTGGCCAGATATACGACCAGGGAATCATCCATGTTGAGGGATCGGGTGCCAGTTTCCACGTCACTAATGTGCAAGTGCACGGAGGCTATGTTCTGCATGTGGGGCAGGTGGAATCTGGAACATTTGCAGTGGGAGACAAAGTGGGAACTTTAATCGATGAGGTATCTGTTCAAGTTTTGGCCCATATAATTCCTTCGAAGATGGAAAAAATGTTAACTAGAAATAATTTCATCGTCAAATAAATTCAAAAGTCGTCGTTTGCTAATTCTAGTCAAAAATAGTATCTCTCAAAAAGAGTGCTGCGCTGTACTGTATGTTGTATGTGAAACAAGTGTATTGAATTTCCAATGTATCTGATGCTGATTTGGACGTGTAGGAGCGAAGGCGGCCAACTATGAACAATCACACCACCACTCACTTGGTCAACTTCGCCCTGAGGAATGTGTTGAGTGAAGATGCGGACCAGAGGGGCTCCCTAGTGGCTCCAGAGTACCTCCGATTCGACTTCACTGCCAAGGGAGCCATGACTGACGAGCAGGTGGCCAAAGTGGAGGAGATCGTGAACAAACTGATCGCCAATAAACTGCCTGTATTCGCCCAAGTTGTGCCTCTGTCTAAGGGCAAAGCTATTCAGGTGAAAACATTAACAGTTGCCGAAATATGTTTCAAAATCAGATACCGGACTTAGAGAGAGAGAGAGATGTTAAATATTAACCTTTGTTCTTTTCTTCGATTGTGGTACAAACTAGAGAATGAAAAATCAAATAAACAAGAGAAACAAATTATCTTCGGTTGTGGTTAAAACTAGAGAATGAAAAATTGAATGAAAAACGAAAAATCGAAAAACGAATGAAAAATTGAAAAACGAGAGAAACGTAAAGACCAAAGGTTGCAATACGGTGTTAATTTTGTAACTGGCGTTTGACTTGGCTATTGATGATAGGGCCTGCGTGCAATCTTTGGAGAAACATATCCGGATCCTGTCAGAGTTCTGTCTGTGGGAGCTAATGTGGATGATCTCGTCAGCTCTAACGGAGAAGTGGATGCTTTCCAGAACTCAGTCGAATTCTGCGGAGGAACGTAAGTTTTATTTTCTTCCATCGCAAGCGTGCTCGCACAACTGGGAACAGTTAACAACTGGGAATAAGTTACAACTGCGCATTGAGACAAGTTTTAGTGCATTCGGACTGTTGCGTGTTGCGAGCTGCCCAAGCACGAAGTTTATGAAAACGCGTGGCGGTTATTGGGGCGAAGCGCATCCATCACCAGGCCACTCAAAAGTTGTTACCTGTTGTCGCAGGTTCCTAGTTATCGTTTGCTGCTGGTTGTCGCGGTGTCCATTCCAAGTACTATGGAAGTCATCGGTGCTGTTTAAATTACAAATGTGTTTAGGCATGTACAAAACATTGGTCACATCGAGCAATTTGCTCTGATATCAGAAGAGGCTATTTCGAAAGGTATCCGAAGAATTGTTGGTGTCACAGGGAATCGAGCTAAGGAGGTTAGTGTTTAAAGTTGAATAAACGCCACCTGCCCGGAACACGGCGATGATTATAGAAATTAGGAGTTTTGTTAGATTTGTGTATTGATGATTCCAGGCTATGATTACTGGTGAGACTCTGTTAGCGAGATTGAAAGATGTCAACAGCCGGATGCCCGAAGGAGAGTGCGCTGACCTATTGAGGATTAAACAACTGGACTCAGAATTTGTTTCACTTAAGCAGGTGAGAATCAAATTATTAAGTTTTTTTTGCATCAACATTTTAATTTGCAGTGCAATTGTTGAATTGACAAGTTCGTCTCGAATTTTGTAAGTTTCATTGTACTTACGTAGTGTAGCGAAGTCACCTGTATAGGTCGGGATTACATTTTTTCTTTTTTTTCCGCTAAAAGTCTTGACGCTTGTGATAAACAAGCGTTATCAAATCAGAATATAGACGTTTTGTCGGGTTAACAACTAGTTCAACAAAATCAGTTGAATCCTTTATGATGCCGCTAATTCTTTCAATTATATCATCCTTCGAAGTTCTCTCTGCTTATTTTTCAGCGTCATGATGCTTTCATCCCATAATTAATATATCGCAAGTAAAATTTGGTCACGCTCAAATATATATTTTTTGTGGTTTGGTTTTTGATTTTATTTAAGTTCAGTTCATTTCCTTCGTTAAAAAGAAGGCAAAATCCTTTATCGACATGCAAAAGTGTCGAGGTTTTGAAAAACGCGAACAATTTATTTTCGAAAGTGGATTTTTATTTTTAGATTTCCCAGCGAACTATTACCAATTGATCCAGTGTTCTAAAAAATGTGAATTTTATTTTAAGAAAGTGTAAATCATGACTTAGTCGTGGTAGTTCAAAGTGCCTTTAAGGGCATATATTCTTTCTATGAAATTCGAATGTTTCATTTTTTTCAATAAACAGTTCGGTGGTTTTTGTTTTCTTGCGTTCATTTTCCTTTTTCCAGCTGTATGTCGGCTATGTTTAATCGTTTATATTTTAGGATATCGATACATTGACTATATCGCAAAGTGTGAAAAGAAAAATAGCGAAAGATGTTGTTAACGGAAGGAAAAAACTGGCAGAACTAGAGAGGAAAAGCACTCAACAAGCACAAGCTAACCTAACCGAAACAGTGAAGGAGCTACTGGCTAGTTCCAACAAAAGTTTCCTGATACACAAAACTCCCGAATCCACAGATGATAAGGCAAGGAAATGATTTCATTTTAAATATCTCTTCGTTTGCTATTTTAAATAGTTTTTTTTTGTCTAGTAAGTTTTGTTGCGATTCATTTTGTGCTCTAAATATATTTAGCAGTAGAAATAAACTGTTTCGGAGGTCTGGATTATATTTTTTCTTCGGTTATTCTCAATTCGCCATCACGTCTGTCGTCTTAAAATATGCCTGAAAATCATGTATACTTTTTGCTTGTATCCGTTGAAAACTGAGGTCCGTGGTGTTCGATTCAGCTGTTTCTAATTGTCCCAGACAACCAGGTGCATGTGTTTGTTTGTTAAAGTGAATGGTTTTCAATGAGGCAAATGTTTTCTGTTTCAGTCATGTAATTTCATTTTACATTTGCATTCCTCCAGTTTTGTAACTATTAGTTATTACTTTAACTGGCTTAGTATAATTTGCTACCATCCAAGTTTGACTTTGTAACCATAAAATATTTTGAGGTGTTCATCAGATAAATCGTTAAGTTGAGTGCCTGAAACAATGGTTTTCTGTTTAAGTTGTGAAATTTCGATTTCATATGGTTGCTTTCATCCAAGTTTGACTTTGCAATCGGTTCTTCCAGGTAGCATGTAATATTTTGAGATGTTCATCATTATGCTTCCATCCAAGTTTGACTTCGTAAGTCAAGTCTTTCAGGTAACATAAACTGTTTTGAGGTGTTCATCAGAAAAACTCCTTAGGTTTTTCTCAACTTGCCTTAAACAATTGTTTTATGTTCTGGCTAAGTATAATTTGCTTCCATCCAATCTTGACTTTGTAAGTCAAGTCTTTAGGAAGCATAAATGGTTTTGAGATGTTCATCAGAAAAATTTTAGTTTTTTCTCAAGTTGCTTTTAACAATTCTTCTCTGTTTTGTTTTGATATATATTCGCTTTCATCCAAGTTTGACTTTGTAAGTCAAGTCTTTCAGGGAGCATAAATGGTTTTGAGGTGTTCATCAGAAAATTCCTTAGGTTTTTCTCAACTTGCCTTAAACAGTTGCTTACTGATCTGGTTAATTATAATTTGCTTCCATCCAAGTTTGACTTTGTAAGTCAAGTCTTTCAGGTAGCATAAACTGTTTTGAGGGGTTCATCAGAAAAACTGCTTAGGTTTTTCTCAACTTGCTTTAAAAAATTGTTTTATGTTCTGGCTAAGTATAATTTGCTTCCATCCAATCTTGACTTTGTAAGTCAAGTCTTTAGGAAGCATAAATGGTTTTGAGATGTTCATCAGAAAAATTTTAGTTTTTTCTCAAGTTGCTTTTAACAATTCTTCTCTGTTTTGTTTTGATATATATTCGCTTTCATCCAAGTTTGACTTTGTAAGTCAAGTCTTTCAGGGAGCATAAATGGTTTTGAGGTGTTCATCAGAAAATTCCTTAGGTTTTTCTCAACTTGCCTTAAACAGTTGCTTACTGATCTGGTTAATTATAATTTGCTTCCATCCAAGTTTGACTTTGTAAGTCAAGTCTTTCAGGGAGCATAAAATGTTTTGAGGTGTTCATCAGAAAATTCATTAGGTTTTTCTCAACTTGCCTTTAACAGTTGCTGACTGTGGTTAATTATAATTTGCTTCCATCCAAGTTTGACTTTGTAAGTCAAGTCTTTCAGGGAGCATAAATGGTTTTGAGGTGTTCATCAGAAAAATGTTAGTTTTTTCTCAAGTTGCTTTTAACAATTCTTTTCTGTTTTGTTTTGATATATATTCGCTTTCATCCAAGTTTGACTTTGTAAGTCAAGTCTTTCAGGGAGCATAAATGGTTTTGAGGTGTTCATCAGAAAAGTCCTTAGGTTTTTCTCAACTTGCCTTAAACAGTTGCTTACTGATCTGGTTAATTATAATTTGCTTCCATCCAAGTTTGACTTTGTAAGTCAAGTCTTTCAGGGAGCATAAAATGTTTTGAGGTGTTCATCAGAAAATTCATTAGGTTTTTCTCAACTTGCCTTAAACAGTTGCTGACTGATCTGGTTAATTATAATTTGCTTCCATCCAAGTTTGACTTTGTAAGTCAAGTCTTTCAGGGAGCATAAATGGTTTTGAGGTGTTCACCAGAAAAATGTTAGTTTTTTCTCAAGTTGCTTTTAACAATTCTTTTCTGTTTTGTTTGATATATATTTTCTTTCATCCAATTTTGACTTTGTGAGTCAAGTCTTTTAGGGAGCACAAAATGTTTGAAGTGCTCATCAGAAAACTCTTTGGGGTTTTCTCAACTTGCCTTAAATGATTGTTTTATGTTCTGGTTAAGTATAATTTGCTTCCATCCAAGTTTGACTTTGTAAATCACGTGTTTTAGGGAGCATAAATGGCTTTAAGTGTTTATCAGAAACATTTTAGTTTTTTCTCAAATTGTTTTTAACATTTCTTTTCTGTTTTAATTTGATATATATTTGCTTTCATCCAATTTCGACTTTGCGAGTCAAGTCTTTCAGGGAGCATAAAATGTTTTGAGGTGTTCATCAGAAAATTCTTTAGGTTTTTCTCAACTTGCTTTAAACAGTTGCTTACTGATCTGGCTAATGATTATTTGCTTCCATCCAAGTTTGACTTTGTAAATCAAGTCTTTCAGGGAGCCTAAATGGTTTTGAGGTGTTCATCAGAAAAATGTTAGTTTTTTCTCAAGTTGCTTTAATAATTCTTTTTTGTTTTGTTTTGATATATATTCGCTTTCATCCAAGTTCGACTTTGTAAGTCAAGTCTTTCAGGGAGCATAAATGGTTTTGAGGTGTTCATCAGGTTTTTCTCAACTTGCCTTAAACAGTTGCTTACTGATCTGGTTAATTATAATTTGCTTCCATCCAAGTTTGACTTTGTAAGTCAAGTCTTTCAGGGAGCATAAAATGTTTTGAGGTGTTCATCAGAAAATTCATTAGGTTTTTCTCAACTTGCCTTAAATAGTTGCTGACTGATCTGGTTAATTATAATTTGCTTCCATCCAAGTTTGACTTTGTAAGTCAAGTCTTTCAGGGAGCATAAAATGTTTTGAGGTGTTCATCAGAAAATTCATTAGGTTTTTCTCAACTTGCCTTAAACAGTTGCTGACTGATCTGGTTAATTATAATTTGCTTCCATCCAAGTTTGACATTGTAAGTCAAGTCTTTCAGGGAGCATAAATGGTTTTGAGGTGTTCATCAAAAAAATGTTAGTTTTTTCTCAAGTTGCTTTTAACAATTCTTTTCTGTTTTGTTTGATAAATATTTTCTTTCATCCAATTTTGACTTTGTGAGTCAAGTCTTTTAGGGAGCATAAAATGTTTGAGGTGTTCATCAGAAAATTCATTAGGTTTTTCTCAACTTGCCTTAAATAGTTGCTGACTGATCTGGTTAATTATAATTTGCTTCCATCCAAGTTTGACTTTGTAAGTCAAGTCTTTCAGGGAGCATAAAATGTTTTGAGGTGTTCATCAGAAAATTCATTAGATTTTTCTCAACTTGCCTTAAACAGTTGCTGACTGATCTGGTTAATTATAATTTGCTTACATCCAAGTTTGACTTTGAAAGTCAAGTATTTCAGGTTTTTCTCAACTTGCCTTAAACGATTGTTTTATGTTCTGGTTAAGTATAATTTGCTTCCATCCAAGTTTGACTTTGTAAATCACGTGTTTTAGGGAGCATAAATGGTTTTGAGGTGTTCATCAGAAAAATGTTAGTTTTTTCTCAAATTGCTTTTAACATTTCTTTTCTGTTTTAGTTTGATATATATTTGCTTTCATCCAATTTCGAGTTTGCGAGTCAAGTCTTTCAGGGAGCATAAAATGTTTTGAGGTATTCATCAGAAAATTATTTAGGTTTTTCTCAACTTGCTTTAAACAGTTGCTTACTGATCTGGCTAATGATAATTTGCTTCCATCCAAGTTTGACTTTGTAAATCAAGTCTTTCAGGGAGCATAAAGTGTATTGAGGTGTTCATCAGAAAAATGTTAGTTTTTTCTCAAGTTGCTTTTAACAATTCTTTTCTGTTTTGTTTTGATATATATTCGCTTTCATCCAAGTTTGACTTTGTAAGTCAAGTCTTTCAGGGAGCATAAATGGTTTTGAGGTGTTCATCAGAAAATTCCTTAGGTTTTTCTCAACTTGCCTTAAACAGTTGCCCGACTGATCTGGTTAATTATAATTTGCTTACATCCAAGTTTGACTTTGTAAGTCAAGTCTTTCAGGTTTTTCTCAACTTGCCTTAAATGATTGTTTTATGTTCTGGTTAAGTATAATTTGCTTCCATCCAAGTTTGATTTTATAAATCACGTGTTTTAGGGAGCATAAATGGCTTTAAGTGTTCATCACAAACGTTTTAGTTTTTTCTCAAATTGCTTTTAACATTTCTTTTCTGTTTTGATTTGATATATATTTGCTTTCATCCAATTTTGACTTTGCGAGTCAAGTCTTTCAGGGAGCATAAAATGTTTTGAGGTGTTCATCAGAAAAATGTTAGTTTTTTCTCAAGTTGCTTTTAACAATTCTTTTTTGTTTTGTTTTGATATATATTCGCTTTCATCCAATTTCGACTTTGTAAGTCAAGTCTTTCAGGGAGCATAAATTGTATTGAGGCGTTCATCAGCAATTCCATTAGGTTTTTCTCATATCTTGACTTAAACAGTTGCCCGACTGATCTGGTTAATTAAAATTTGCTTACATCCAAGTTTGACTTTGTAAGTCAAGTCTTTCAGGTTTTTCTCAACTTGCCATAAATGATTTTTTTATGTTCTGGTTAAGTACAATTTGCTTCCATCCAAGTTTGACTTTATAAATCACGTGTTTTAGGGAGCATAAATGGCTTTAAGTGTTCATCACAAACGTTTTAGTTTTTTCTCAAATTGCTTTTAACATTTCTTTTCTGTTTTGATTTGATATATATTTGCTTTCATCCAATTTTGACTTTGCGAGTCAAGTCTTTCAGGGAGCATAAAATGTTTTGAGGTGTTCATCAGAAAAATGTTAGTTTTTTCTCAAGTTGCTTTTAACAATTCTTTTTTGTTTTGTTTTGATATATAT